GGAACAGTGGTCACTCTGCACCTGCTCTGGCGTCATAGTAACGTTTCTGTGATAACTGACGGGCCTCTAATGCGGCATTGATAGTGTCTCTGTCTGGAAGCTTGTTTCTGGTGCACACTGGTAGATTGGCCTTGGCTTTTCTACCCATCAGAGTTTCCATGGGAGATTTTATCTTGTCACTCACTGGCGTCGTTTGTAATCACAGTAGTGCCAGGTCTGTATCTACTTGATCTAGTCTGGCTTTCCATATGGTGGACTTGATCGTCTTCACCATACGCTCTATGAATACATTCAATTGTGGATATCTTGGTGAAGATATGGTGTGGGTGAATGACCACTCATTCGCAAATGCTTTGAAGGAATAGGCATCAAACTGTGGACCATTATCCGTGTACAATGTTTCAGGGATGCTATGTATCCCAAACAGCTCATTGAAGTACGTAATGGCGGCCTTGCTGGTGCACGATTTGGTGTATTGATCTGCTACCAGCAGGTATTCCTCTCCATCCAACTCAAAGAAGTCAGCACTCAGCGTATGCCATGGATGGCGCGGAATTTCTTTCTGCAGCAATGGCTTCCTTTGCTGTGATGGTGCGTTCTGCTGGCAAATTTCGCAATTTGCTACAAGGGACTCAATGTCTGAAGCTATTCCAGTCCAGTACACACTGGCCTTGGCTCTTATACGGCACTTATCCCGCCTTTGGTGGCCTGCATGCAACGCCGTGAGTACATATCGTTGCAACGAGGAAGGGATCAGGACTTGCTCACTTCCTTTTAGGATGATTCTGCCCTCCACCGCAAGCTCATTGTGGAAAGACCAGTAGGGCTTGATCACCTTCGGCACTTGCCTTTGAGACGATGGCCATCCACTGATAATCACATCTCGCTGTGGTGCTAGGACTGGATCTCAAGAAGTCTCTGTGTGCAGCTGCTGTACGCGTTCATGGCTGAATTGGACCAGATTTACCTGGACATTGAGTTCTATGGGGGGATCTCTCCTTCCTCCCAGGATCCTCGGAGAGTCCATCAGCAAGAAGCAGTGATTTTTCCGGCTGGTACCCGATGGTCACATCGTAATTCTGTAAGCGCAGTAGCATGCGCTGTAGGTGTGGAGGTGCTGCATGCAAGTTTTTTAACTGGATTATCTTCAACGGCTTGTGGTTTGAATGAACGGTGAAGGTTTTCCCGTATATGTAAGTATGGAAACGCTCGGAAACATAGACCACAGCCAGGAGCTCGCGCTCAATGTTGTCTGGTTTCCCACCATCTGCGGAGTAGATCATGCCGAAGAACAGAATTTCCTTGGCCTTGATTGTACATTTCTGAGAGTTGAAGACCAGTCTGTGATTTTGTGCAACCTGCATCAGGTTCCAGAGATTGCGATCATGCTCTTCGTCTGTGCATCCGTAAACAGCAACATCATCCACGATGCCTGTGCAGACTGGGCAGTTCTCCAGTATGGCGTCCATCTTCTGCTGAAAGACGTCCTGCGACACAAGCAGACCAAATGGAAGGCGTAGGAAGCAATGCCTTCCAAAAGGAGTGTTGAACGCGGTTAGCCTTGAGCTGGACTCATCCAGCCTGATTGACCAGTAGCCATTCTTGTCGTCAAGCTTGCTGAAGACCTTGGCTCCGCTAATGTGGTAAGTTATCTCTTCAAGGGTTGGCGTTTTGTGGTGAGGTCGCTTGAGTGCGCAGTTGAGGTCTTTTAGATATAAGCATACCTGCAGACTGCCACTTTTCTTTTCCGTAATGGCAAGGCTTGAGACCCAGTCTGTTGGCTCGGTTTTGCGCTTGATAACACTCATTGCTTCCATCTTATTCAGCTCACTTTTGATAGCAAGTCGACGTTGTATTGAGTACTTCCGGTTTGGATGCACAGCGCGTCAAATGATTTTGGAAATGCGTCCTTGAGGTCTTGTATGCTACCGACGTAGATGCTGGAGTATTGTTGATGGCTGACACTTCTATGCCAATATCATCACATCGCAGAGTGACCATATTCATCAGCTCGCAGCTTGGGAGACCTAAGATTGCAGCACGATCTGATTCAGCAATGTAGAAGGTCATGCTCTGCCATCCGCAATTCTTGTACCTGCAGTGACTGACCTGCACTCTAGCCATATGGCACCATGCTGCTTGATTTCACCGCCATTGTATGCTGTTAGCTTTACACCAGGCATGTGGCTGACCTCGGATGACCTTGGATATCTACTGGCATCCAGCTTGTGGGGAAACATGCAGCGGAATGTGCGCACTGGTAAGATGTTTCCTTCAGCTCCCGTGTCAACCTTAAGCTTGAGGGTGTCATGCACATGCTTGTTTGGCAGTTGTATGTCAAGCGTTGCAAAAGCTGACTGCTTCTGTGCTGCAGTGTCCACCGTGATTTCCACAGCGCCATAGGCAATGTGGGCAAAGTATTCATCTTCAGCAGTAACGGCATCAATGCTATTGTCCCTGCCATGCTGGTCCCTACCACGACTCCAGGATCGACCTCGGCCACGGCCTCTGCCCTGTCCTCGGCTCCAGGCATTGTCACCTCGTGACCTGGATTGGTTGTGGGGCCTTGCTCCATCACGTGTTGGTGACTTGCTGGGGCATGTCCGGGCCTTGGCCCAGTGGTCTGAACCACCACACCATCTGCATGTGGATCCCTTCACCGGGCATCCTTGGATGGACTTGTGGCGGGTTTCGCCACAATGGTAGCACTGTGGAGATGACTTGTAACCATGATGAAAGGCATTGACTGACACCTGGTTGTCTTGAATATGCTTAAATGCCTCTTGGTGGCCCACCGAAGCGTCATGGGCATGACATTCTTCCATGGCCTTTTCAATGGTGTAGGCAGCGTCATGTATTAGCAATGTCTTTTGAACCTCAGCGTACTTCGTACCAAATGCGATTAGATCAACAATGCGTTCATCTTTATCCGTAAATTTGCATAAATTCGCTTGGTTGGTTAGTCTGCTTAAGAAGTCGTCACTGCTTTCATCAGCCCCTTGTCTCATGTGCTGAAATATAAGTCTTTACACCCTGAAGCTAGACTTCTGCTCGATGTGCACATCAAATTTTCCCCATATTGTTGCCGGATTCTTTCGGTCTACCTCTGTTATGTCTCAGCTGTTATACATGCTAACACCTTCATCGCCCATCATAAGCAGTATGTGGGACACTTGCTTTTCAGCTTTAACATCCTTGCAGTCAAAGTACATAAGTGCTTTTTGCTTGAACAGCTTGTAGCTGGCAGTCTTATCTGGCCTTGACCAGTCCATAATGGGTGCACGAACATGCCCCATCTTTGTCTTTCAAGTTCAACACTAATAATCGCACAATAATATTAATGTTGCGGTTATTTTGCAGCTGTATATCCAGTAAGGGTTATTTACATACCGTTTACTGATGAATGACTGGATGTAAACACTAACTTTGATCAGCTGTTGGCGATGTCAACAATTAGCTGATGCACTCATTAGCTGTCCATGCTCAGCGCGGCTGTTGACCAGGTGTTACCATTGCACGGCATGCAATGAACAATCGTGTCATTCCGGCAGGAAAATTTCTGGGGCCTCCCAAGTTCTGGTAGAATATCTCCAGGCTTGCTGTTGCAATTCGTTTTTTTACTGTTGCTACCATGTGATAGTGTGATGGTTGTGGAATGACAACACAACGAGTGGTATAACTTTAATACAAATGCATGTATATTCGAAGCATCAACTTGGACAACATAACATGGATACTTGTGTGCATGCTGGCTAGCAGCCAACTTTCATAAAACAAGAGAGCTTAGTTCGGCCAGGAGGCGTCTATTTCTTCCGTACCACAAATGCGCGAAGGGTTCCTCTGATTGGCTGCTTTGATTTGCTCTGACGGAACAAGGGTGTTGCTATCCCCCGGGCGCGTCTATTTTTTCCGTACCACAAATGCGCGAAGGGTTCCTCTGATTGGCTGCTTTGATTTGCTCTGACGGAACAACCCGTCGCGTGTGGAGGGAGGTGCCCGCAACGTGGCAGCACTAGTGTTAGGATAGTGTTAGGGTCAGGGTTAGGGTTAGGGTTAGGGTTAATTTTTAATTATTAATTTTTAATTTAGGGTTAGGGTTAGGATTTTTGCATCATGATATCTGTCCCCACACCATAGATTAATTTTTGTGAATAACACTGCCTATATATAGCGCGGCGACACATACATATTTAGTGTGAGGGTTAGTGGTGGCGTTGTTGGAGTGAATGTTACCGTTAGGTTGAACTTTTTGAACGTCATCGTCAACGTTATCACGTGACCTCCCTCCACACGCGACGGGTTGTTCCGTCAGAGCAAATCAAAGCAGCCAATCAGAGGAACCCTTCGCGCATTTGTGGTACGGAAAAAATAGACGCGGCCAGGAGGCCTCAGTTAGGTGGCGCCATCTGGCAAATACAAAGGGGATCATTTGATGACTGTGCCAGACATATCCAAACAATACACATTACCACATAACTAACAATACGCATTATCATATAACTGAATAGCTTGACGGGCCGAGATTACTTACCCACTGCTGACAAGCGCCAGCCATATAAACCAATTGGAAGTAGGAGTGTAGAAAGCGCGAGCTTTAATATATACATTTTTGTTGGGAACAAAGGAGACGGAATAAATAAATAGCTGTGGTGCGCCTACGGCTGCGCGATACCAAGGGCAGAATTTCCCGTGAATGGTTGTTTTTCGTGTGCTTTTGTACCTCCGTAGCGTGCAGTTTATCAGTAATACCATTGTTTTAATTAAGAAATTGCATTTATTTTCAAAGGTTTTTCATATGGAAGGGTTGCAGGCTCCTACGATGTGAAACAGTATACTATAATAATATTAATGTATTATATATATATATATGTGATCTTTTTACATGATATTATTATAGTACTAGTAGTGAATAAAAACAAATAATCTTCTGACAGTGGTTGTAGCAAGTGGTATCTTTGTATACCGTTTACATGTTCAATCAATATACATATATATTCCAGCTCTATTCCAAAGTCGACATGACGTCTAAAAGCATTGAATGTGCTACGGATATGTATGAAATACTCACCTCCAATCTACTGCTGCTGGGATTCCATCCTTCAGATGTTGAGGAAAAGCACAATATTAGGTTCAACAGGTTTGTGTTCATGCTTATCATATATTATCAGGAGGAATAATAATAGAGGAGTATGACTCGCAAAGACGCGTGTACTTCCACGTGTGAAATTAGTGGCGGGCTCTAATCATTGGCTCTGACGTCTTTTTCGTCGTTTTTCTGGAGCAGAATCTAAGTTGAGCTTTTGTTTCGGCGGATTTTGGAAGTTTTTAAAATGTGATCTTGCATGAATTTGCTAGTTGCAAATCCCTGCCGAACCCCGCCAACAGGTACCTCAGTGTGAGCTGCCTTTTGCTTGTGTCACTCGCGTGGAAATGATCGCACGTTGATCATGTCTGACGTTCAAATCTATAACTACATAACAAGAAGAGATATATATCGATACAAAGTAAAGTGTGATGGCAAGTTGGATGTACAATGCTAGTTCTGATGTCATTTTTTATAGGGTTTCACGTAATAAATCGTAGGTGAATTATGGCATAGAAATTTTGAATTTTTTGTGTTTCGAGCGAGCACTCCTGATATTATTAGTATGGAAGTTTTTTTTGTTGAAAATTGTCTCTTATAAATGAGACACATACAGGTACCCACACATCTCTACCTTCCGTTAAAAGCTGTTCCAACTCCACAACATGATGTTTTTAAGGTTCTAATTACTTTGTATCGCATATCCTGGTTTGAAATGTGCTTCAAATCTGTTCTATGTAAAATTTTATCATATTAAGAACAACGACATCAAATTTTAAGTGACGGTCTTTAATAGTTTGTCATAACAGGGTTTAGCACCTATTCAAACAAATTGTTGACGGTGATCAGGGGCGGTAACCAGACAATATACGGGTAATGGTTAATACTCAGTTTGAGTTTTTCCTGGTATCAAGCCCATACATAAACAAATAGTCAAATAGTGCAGGATTTGGGATTTAGATCTGTACCAGCAATACATTCTGGCTTTTCCACTTACAATTACATGTTGATTCATGCCAGCCCTTTCGTATGCGTCCACAGGGTTCCGGGGGAAAAAACCAATATTGCTGTAATACAGGTCGCAGCGTTTAATGGTTATAACCTTTAAGTTAATGTACAACGTACTTGAATCATTTCAACTTAGTTGGTTAACTAACAGCCGTCTGTTGCGTATATGGCACCATGTGCCTTAACAATTTGGGGGCTTTTGCGTAGTTTGTAAGCATTAGGAGTTGATGCCACTTTAACTGTCATAATGAATGTGACACTTGCCAATGTTTGTAATGTATGATGGCTTTTACGATAGCATTCTTAAAATGTTTAAAGCTCCTGTTACATCACTTGACTAAAATCGTTATGGCTGTTATAAGGGAAGGGAGGGAAGTCATTCATTGATCTTTTCCAGTTGGCTAGGTTTTATGCCACTTTCCTTGAGTTTGACCTCCATAGATATTCTTGGGATGATTCTTTTTCCCCATTTGTTCTTTTTCCCAGTGTTTTCCAAGGTAGAGCTTGCCTGATGGTGTTAGCATATATGGCATGTGGCATGATATGTTAGCATGTGGTTTTTTAAGTGGTGGGTCATATCAACATGTGCTTTAATCTGCTCCTGCTTTGTGTTCTGCTAGAGGTATTCATTCCTCTTTCTCATTGTGTTTGGTCAGTGTGTGCCCAGGGTATCTCTTAGCATGTTAACTGTTAATGTGTATTGTCGTTGGAATGCATTGCATTTATATGTTTTTTTTTCAGAGAGCTGTTTGAAGTGCCAAATAGAAAAGCGTTTAATGTGATTATACACTTAATATTATCTCGTCTGGATGCAGGAAAAGCCAATGAAACATTCAGGTGCATAACTATTATATATGAAACCCCGTAGAAAGTAATATTGCAACATATCTTTGCTATCAAAAAATGAGTGTATATGGTATATATTTTGTGATATAAAAGCATGCACTCAAGCTTTTGTATGGGTATTGCTCTAATGAAGAGTATATGGTTATTGACCAATGCATCGAATTAATCACACATTTTATTTATATTATATTATATTATATTATATAGGCAGTTGATAGTTGTAGAGTGGTTGACGCTAATAGATTCTGGCATAATTAATACTATGAACAGGCTGGTTAGGGCATGTCTCTGACATCATCAGTAAATGTGTTTAAAGGGCCACGTCTCACTGCACAGGTTCGCGGGCAATCAAAACGCTCTGAAAGTTCACATAATATGTTGATATACGGAGAAATAAGCATGTACAGATGTGGCACCTGGTGTTAGCCATCGAATAAGACTAAAAATTAAAAATCAAAATAAATTGCGCTTAAAACATTGGGTGTATCCTTAATATTTATTTGCTTTATGCTGGAAGCCTGAACTGAGAAACATTATGCTGGCTACAGCTTGAATTTTATTTTCAGAGATTGTTGGCCAGTTTATGACAAAAAACAAGAACAAGTCTTCACTAGAGCTTGCCAACTTTGGATAAATGATATACGAACAGTTTGTGCTTATAATTCTGTACTATTCTTGCTTCATTGCTACATAATTTCTTTGTCTGAACTTTTGGAGGATTAAATTTTTACTATGTTGTCTTTTCATCTTTCGAAGAGAAGTGTTTAACTAGTAAGTACGCTAAAGTTTGTTTTATTTGTATTGTTTCAAATTTAATTTGTATTTTATGTTGAATAATTTTGCATGTTTTTACTATTTCGTATTTAGAAGGAAACTCAGTTGCGCCTTCCTACTATCAATGCTTCTGCACTACTGTCCCCATGTGGCAAAAAGATCTACATTGTCCTTATAATCCTATCTACATTCACATTGTCGAAGCGTAAGTAGGCACTGTGCCAAAAATGTTTGGCTTGCTTCTTAATTTAGTATAGTTTACAAAGTTAGGCATTTCATGTTTTGATTGTCATCTTATGAGTGCAACCATTGTGTGTAGTTAAGGCACAATTTTAATGCATATGAGATGTTTTAGTGATAGCAAAGGTTGCCTTGTATGTAAAAATGATTGAATATAACTATATGCAAAATATTTCATGTCCCAACTAAAGGTGCATGGTCACTGACAGTGGCGTAGACAGGTCCTCAGTTGTGGGGAGGGGTGGATGATTTCGCTGTTACTTCCATCACAACGTATACGAAGAGCATGTATCGCACACTGCGAGCGCCTTGGCCCAAAGCCCTTAACGGGTGGGGTCCAGGGGCCGGATTCATCAACGTTGCGTAAAGTGTATTGCGTACACAGAGTTTCTACGAAGTACGTACGCAAAGCTCGTAGGTGCGATTCATCAACGCAGCGTAGCACCTGCGTACGCAATTGTTGATGAATTCCAGTGTAAATCCACTACGCCATCGTAGCTGCTGGCTGTTGAGGGGAGTGCCTAGCATAAACCAATCACACTGTGCGACACATACCATAGGAACCAAACTGACGCCTCTCTTGTATGTAAACCATATGGCTCTAGCTCTGTCTACAGGAGTGCTCGGGGATGTGATAGTTGCCTCATTTTCGTTTGTATGATTGCGTTCAACACTCGAAGAAAGCAGGGACACGTACACGTGCGTGCGTGTGTACGTACACGTGCGTTCGTGCGTGTGCGTGCGTGCGTGCGTGCGTGCATGTGCACGTGTGCGTGCGTCTGTGTGCACGTACACGTGCGTGCGTTCGTGTGCGTGCGTGCGTGTGCACGTACACGTGCGTGCGTGCGTGTGTACGTACACGTGCGTGCGTGCATGTGCACGTGTGCGTGCGTGTGTGTGCACGTACACGTGCGTGCGTGCGTGTGCACGTACACGTGCGTGCGTGCGTGCATGTGCACGTGTGCGTGCGTGTGTGTGCACGTACACGTGCGTGCGTGTACACGTGCTTGCGTGCGTGTGCACGTACACGTGCGTGCGTGTGTACGTACACGGACGTGCGTGCATGCGTGCGTGTGCACGTACACGTGCGTGTGTGTGCACATACATGTGCGTGCGTGTGCACGTACACGTGCGTGCGTGCGTGCGTTTACACGTACGCGTGCGTGCGTGTGTACGTACACGGGCGTGCGTGCGTGCTTGTGCACGTGTGCATGCGTGTGCATGTACACGGCTAACTATGAACTCGCTTATAACGAAAACAATGCCAAGCTATAACAAAAGAAGCGTCAAAGGCGCCGCCTGTCTGTGTAGTATGGTAATTATTTATTTATTTTTAGTTGAGTAGTAATTTTATAATGTTTTCTCAATAAAATAATGCATGCTGCGGTATGCTGGAAACACCTGTGCAAATTTCGAGTGGTTTACGGCATCTCGTCAGCTCGTGTAAAGTTACGCAAAGGTTTACGTAAAGTTTAGTTCGATGAATCGCACCTAAAACGGCCTCGCTTGCGTACGCAAAATCGTACGCAAATTTACTAAATAGCTGTGTTGATGAATCGCAACTAAGCAACGTCGATTGCTTACACAAGATTTACGCAAAATATTTTGCGTAAGCAGCTTGATGAATCTACCCCCAGGGGCCCACCATAGGGCCCCTGGCGGGGTGCAGGGGCAGAGCCCTTGCCCGGGGTCCAGGGGACGGAGGAGCCCCCCGAAGCTCTTGGATTTTAGCAATTTAGAACCTTTAAGATGGCCATTTTTTAGGGAATTGAAAAAAAAAATGAAATCGTAAGTGTAATATATTGTGAATTCTAGGGTTGTTTTTTTCTTTGGCCTTTTGGCTTTTTTCTTTGAGGTTTAATAACACGCAACTCCCCCCCCCCCACACACACACACACACGCATACCCACACCCACACCCACACCCACACCCACACCCACACCCACACACAACTACAGCACTGGAATCATCTCCCCCTGAAATTTTGATAAAACGTATATTTTACTGAGAACGTTAAAACTGTAAAAAAAAAGTATGAGAAAAACAACCAGATTTGAACCAAAAAGTGCATATTTGCACCCCTAATACAAAATCGTGAATATACTTCCGGTCAGGTCTCAGCACCCCCACCCCCAAGTGTGATGAAATTGGATTTTCCCCCATTCAATCCTCGTGAAAAATCAATATCCCAACTCTCAATAGGTCTATTCTAATTTTGAATAAAGCAGTGATTTAACTTTCATGAACAGTGATAAGACGTGATTTGGGGATTTTGAGTGAGTTTCAGTAAAATAATGTCATTCTTGGAACGAGTTACAGACATTTTACAGTAGATGTATGTCACTTCCCATATGTGTAATAGCGGAGCTCGAGAGAGCGGAGCACCATACATATAGGATGAGAGCATTTTTTTGCTGGACTTTGTGGTATGGTACACCCCCCCCCATCCCATAGTGCATTGCGCTT